TTAGTTGGGCCTTTTATTTGGTCAGAAGTCTACAAGCATTCAGAAATGAATTAATTGTGAGAAGAAACTTTTTTTTTCCAGTATGACTAGACAAAAGAGAATGTTTAAATCATAGAGTTGGAAGGAATCACTTACCTTCCCAATTCTATCCCATTTTTACCCTATTGTAAATATTTGTAATGAAGGATAAACACAATATAAAGTTTCTCTTTGTAGCATATTTTATTATTCTTAAGACATGCTGATCTCTGTGTTGATCTAAAATCTATTACCTTCCTTTGTTCCCTCCTTTCTTAATTCTTCCATCTGAAAACATACGGAATAAATATATTTTCTGTTCAGTTTAACATATTGAAGACACTGCCACAATTATTGAGTTTTGAACTTGGTTGCATTTTTTTCTTGAGATAGTCAGCCTGAGTTTATTGAACTGTTCCTCTATTTCAGACGTAGTTAATGTGTGGACTAGGACTGGCCCATGATTATCTCTCACTCTTTGAGAACTATATGTTATAGGTCCTCAAGGAGCTGTGCCAGAATATAAATCAACATCCTCTTGCCTTCATTGAAAAAGTCTTGCTATGGAAAAATAAAGCTAGCTGAATTAAATAGTGCTAAACAGTGTGGTTAATGATATAGTTGCTTTACGTTGTGGCACAAGCTTTTTTATATTGTTGCAGATAAGCAGTTGAGCTAACTCATTTGACAGCATTTGTTCTTATAACATAAGTTCCAGATCCTTTCTAATTATTCTTCTCTAGATTACAGCCAATGCTTCCAGAGAGAGAGTATGCTAAAAATATAATGGAAAACATTACTTCCTTGTATCTGGACACTATTTTTCTTAGCATCATAGCCTAATAGTTTTTAATGAGTTTTAATCAAGTACAACACCTCAGAATTATATATTTATTTATTTTCAAATTCATGCTACTTATAGTTCACTAGAGGCCCAGTGCACAAAAATTTGTGCACTCAGGTGGGGGGGGGGGGGGGGCCCTCAGCCCAGCCTGTGCCCTCTTACAGCCTGGGACGCCCTCGGGGGATGACCACCTGCTGGCTTAGGCCTGCTCCCTGGGGGATTGGGCCTAAGCTGGCAATCAGACATCCCTCTGGCAGCCTGGCAGCCCTTGGGGGATGTCCACTTGCCAGTGGGGAGCAGACCTAAGTTGCAGTCAAACATCCTTAGTGCTGCTGAGGAGGCAGGAGAGGCTCCCACCATCACCGCTGTACTGGCAGCTGTCAGCCTGGCTTGTGGCTGAGCAGAGCTCCCCCATGTGGGAGCACACTGATCACCAGAGGGCATCTCCTGCATTGAATGTCTGCCCCCTGGTGGTCAGTGTGTGTCATAGTGACCAGTCATTCCCAGTCTTTCTGTTGTGAGGGTCAGTTTGCATATTACCCTTCTACTATATAGGATAGAGGCCTGGTGCATGGGAGGGAGCTGGCTGGTTTGCCCTTAAGGGTGTCCTAGATCAGGGTGGGAGTCCCGCTTGGGTGCCTGGCCAGCCTGGGTGAGGGGCTGATGGCTGTTTGCAGCTGGTCACACCCCTTTAAGGGTGGGGGTCCCCACTGGGGTGCCTGGCCAGCCTGGATGAGGGGCTGATGGCTGTTTTCAGGCTTGTCAGCAACTGAAGCTCCCAGCCTCTCCTTTTTTTCTTTTTTTTTTTTAATTCTGGGATTTATTTACCTTCTGTAATTAAAACGTTGTTGCCATCCTGCTTGCTCCAGCTCTGAGGCCACGGCCTGCTGAAACCAGGTATCTGGGGTTTGTTTAGCTTCTATAATTGAAACTTTGTTGCTCTCGGAGCTGTTGCTTTCGGAGCTCAGAGCCAGGCCGTGGCAGGTGGGGAACCTTGGCTTCCTCCATCACTGGAGCAAGCAAGCCTACTGCTTGCTTCAGCTGTGTGGCTGCCAGCCACCATCTTGGTTGGCAGTTAATTTGCTAATCACCCTGATTAGCCAATGGGAAGCGTAGCGAAGGTACGGTCAATCACCTTTTTGTCTTTTATTAGATAGGATTATTTCAAAGTGGCTACCTACAAATTATTCTATCCAATTTTGTATTTGTAAATGTAGGGTATGCAGTTATTGTCCTGTAAAACAAAAAAACAAAAAAAACCCCACCAACTCAGTCACTTTAAACAATAACATTTAAAAGGAAATTCTCATGAGGCTCTGTTTCAGCAGGTCAGTTGTGGTGACTTTGGCTTGTTCCTCTGATCTTGACTGGGCTCTCAAGCATTGGCTGGGGGCTGACTGGTCTAGGACGGTCTCTGCTGAAACAACTCAGCTCTCCTCCACAGGATTTGTATCCTCCAGTAGACCAGCTGGAGCCTGTTCTCATGGCAGTGACAGGGTCCCAAGAGTGGTAGGAAGCACACAAGACCTATGTAGGGATCAGCCTCAGCTCTGCATAGAGTAGATCAGAGAAGGGTAGACAATGGACCTGGAGGTGGACAAGGAGAGAATAACTATCACCATGCCAATGTGTTCTTCAAAGTTCTTTATAAAAAATTTGAAAATGTCACTGACAAATATTTTCCATGGAATACCTAATGGACCTTACGGATGCATTGATCAACAGTTTAGAATATTTTATTTAAACAGCTATGACTGTACCAATAAGAGTTTTCATCCAATCCATGTTTTTCCATGCTGTTAATAAGGGTTCAAATTTGACGCTTCAATTAAGAAATCATCTGTAGTTTCCTGAACATAGGAATGATCATCACTGCATTATTTATAACAACAAAATACTGGAACAAATGCAGGGCTGAATAATTTAATATGGTAATCCACATTATAAGTTATTCCATGTGGTTTTTAAATTTTAAATAATTGATGAAATGAGAAAATGCTCACAATTTAATTTTAATGACAAAGTGTTAAGATACATAGTGAAGCACAATATATACAAAATTACAGACATCATATTTTATACCCAATATAGAAATATTTTGAAATCATAGAAAGAAATGCAATAAAAATATACTTATTATCTTTGGATGGCAAGATTATATTGATTTTTATTTTTATCTTAACATTTTTAGATATTTTCCAGATTTTCTACAATAAACATACATAACATCATATCAGAAAAAAATAAACATACATTTAATATTTTTGTATTTTGTAATTTTCCTGGGAATTAAAATAAAGCTCACATTTCCCTCTACTTTGAAAATTGTGCATTTGTCCATTGCCAATCTGATATTTTCTGAAAATTGTTATGAACAGTTATAATTGGAAAGGAGAGTATAGTAGCTAGAATTTAATAAGCATTTCAAAAGCATAGTAGCAGATTTTAATAAGTATTTCAAAAGCATAATAGTTAGATTTTAATAAGTATTTCATCAACATTTTCATCTTAAAAATATTTCCTGCAGTCACACGAATGCATGTTTTCTTTTTCTATTGAATGCCAAAAAGAAACAGGACTTTATTATTATCTTGGAGCAATATTAAATTTCTATTCTAGAACCAGTAAAAAGGAAGAGGTCTGTGGGACAGAATGGGAAAGCAGGAGGAAAATATCTCCATTGATGCTTCATTGGTTATATCATTATGTGACTGAGGGACCTATGAGATAACTATATTTATTTTGACACCGATTATTTCTTTATAGCCTTTAAATTCTTATTAACACTGAAAGTCATATGTCATGAGGTTACATTTAAGCCATTTGGAATACTTAAATGAATGCATTCAGATGCTAGAATAAAGCCTCTGAAAACACAACAGGTAACTCTTTTTCTGCAAAGGATGTAGAATGTGAAGGTGAGTAAATCACCGACCAGACACAATGTCTACCAGAGGCATTGTGGTAAAGTTGGCCACATATTCTCTGATTCTCCTCCCACTGAGAAGTGGAGTCTCTACCCCTCCTCGTAAATGTAAGTGGATTCTGTAGGGTAGAATATAGCAGAAGTGACACTGCGCCAGTTTCCAGGTTTCAGCCTTAAGTGACTGGCAGCTTCTAATTCCTGATTCTTGGAAAACTCATTCCAGGAAGCCACCTGCCAGGCTGTGAGAAGCCTAAGCCACCTGGAGTATTCATACCTGTAGGCCCCAGCTGACAGCCCCAGCTGAGCTCAGCCAACTGTGAGCATCAATGCAGACATGTGAGTGAGCCTTTTTGGAAATCGGCCAGTCACATCTTCAGGTGACCCCAGCCTCAGCCACTATGACTCCAATTATATGAAAGACCCCCAGGAAGATTCATGCAGCTGAGCTCAGACAACCCCCAGAACTAAGAAACATAATAAATTGCTGTTTTAAGACACTAAGTTTTAATGGTTTGTTGATTACTAACCAAAAAACTAGAACATTAGCCATTTGCTGGTATAGTACTTGAAATAAAATGTGAAAATACAGAAAATAGATGGTGACATAAGATCTCTGTAAAACTATCTTTCAGGCTGGAATGGAGACATATACTCTGTAATTAATCAGAGAAACCAAGAACAAATAAAAGGAAAGCTCAAGATAGCATTTCACATTTGGAGTATGTTTATGGCACTTTACAGTTTACCATAACCTTGAGGAATATGAATTATTATCATCATTTTTTATACTTTTCCTCCCTCCCTCCCTTTCTTCCCTTTGTCTACCTCCCATTTCCAAGTTGTTTTCACTCCACTAAACCTCAGAAGGAGCCTCATTCATCTTCATATTCTCCCCATGCCATTTATAGTACATGAAATACTAAAGAATGCTGCTCAAACAGGTACCCATTTGGAGAAGTCTGGTAGGCAATCTTAAAGGTGGAAGGATAAACCCTAGCAGGGTGTTATCCACAGAAGCCCACATTTTTTCTGCTTGATCAGAAATGATCAATACAGTGAGGAACAGTTTTTGTTGTTGTTTTAGAAACAGTTTTTATTATGTATTCTTTTAAAGCCGTGACAACAAAAATATTAGATGTGTAAACCTTTTTTATACTCATCACCAATTTTAAGACTTTTCTAGAGTGTTTTACAACTCTGTTTTGCTTCTAGGTATTCCAAAGTTGATCACATCTGATATGATTAAAGAAGGTGCTGCTGTAATTGATGTGGGTATCAACTATGTCCACGACCCAGTAACAGAAAAGATAAAATTAGTTGGAGATGTGGACTTTGAAGGTAATAAATTATATCATTCTTGATAAGTAAAGGTAAAGGAAGATTGTATTCTTCATGTTTTGATAGTAGAAAGAGAAAGTTTCTATTTGATGGCGGCAATACTATTAATCAGTGTGACTCTTTCCTCTGAGGGCAGCATGGTGAATTAGAGCGAAGTGCAGTTGGAGCTTATCAAACCGCACACTGTTGCTCTCCTAGGCTGTCATAGGCTCCCTGCATGGATGGAGCTCCCAGTCCAGTAAGCTGGCTCTCCAAGGGAACATGTGTGTCTGTCTGTGTATGTGTGTGTTATGTGTACCTGTTGATCTCTTGAGGAAATGACCTCATTTCTTTATTTCACTTTTCATGCTCAGTCACTAATGTCAGATAGCAATAATTTATTTGAATGTCTCAACTTGAAAGAATGAGAATATATTTCAAGTCTTGACCCTATTTCCTATTTTTCTTACACTGTCATTCTGCTTCTTGATAACATTACAGTTACCCTGTGTTGATTGTAAAAATCACCACACACTTATGATGCACCAGATGGCATAGACAGCACATGATAACCAGCTTGAGGCAAGAAAAGCTGGGATGTTTTCAGTTCATAACCTTGACTGTGCTTGTGGGATAAACTTACCCAGCAGTTCACCACATCCTATAAGACCCTTCTCTTATATGATAATGTGTTGGTCTCACATCATTTCCATGCATTCTTATGATTAGCTAAGAATATTTTTTTTGCTCATGAGGATATTCTGAAAATATTTTAAAATGAGCATTGGGGGTGAGTGCATATGCTTAGTGCACTTCAGCTGGCAAACTACTCCACTTGGTAGAACCTATTAAATTCAATTGCAGTTGCGTATCAAAGTATATAACGAGATAAAAAAAAGAAATTACAATGAGAAACAAGCCATGAAATGGACAAGAAAGAGCATTTGTCTGGGACTCTGAAGAGGTGCTTTTAGACCTGGTATTCTAACCCACTAACTTTGCAACCTCTCTGGGCATCGGTGTTATTATCAGTTAAATGATAGAATGGCTCCTTCTAGTCCTAATGCTTGGTATATATTGTACATTCAACTGAGTGCTACCAAATGATTGTGTAAAACCCCATACACGTTTGTAAGGTCAGATTTTTCTGATCCTAATATAAAATACACCCATCTGATTGAAAAATCTCACTCTTGCTACATTGCTGGTTCATGGAGCTAGAGGCCTAAAGAAGACCTATACTTAGTAAAGAAGACCTTGCCATGTAGGCCATGACTCAGCCACCCAGAGGAGCAGGCAAGTGGTAGGTTTTGACATGTCGTTCTTCATGTTGTTCTTCAGGACTTAACCTGAGGTGAGGGCTGATCCCTTGGCTGAGAAGGAGGAACTTTTAACTTGGGTTGTGACACAAAACTTGTAAGGTAGCATTTGGCTGCTAATTGCCACAGGGAAAGTGTGGCTGCCTTGTGAGTATTGGTGAAAGTTTCACTAGAACTATAGCCAAGATCAACAAAACGGATGTAGATAAAATCAAGTGCTGAAGGAAATTGTCCTTGCTGAAATCTTTGGCTTACTAATAAAGGAAACAGGACAACTGACGTCAAGTAGATTACTTTGATGGGAATAATTTTTTAAAGAAAATTTCATCAATGACCTATTAGAGGAATATTAAAAGTATATAAATAATTGCAAATTTAATGATTTATAAAACCAGGAATCATTTTATCTATTTTATTTCTAAGAAAATTCAGATGCCTATTTGTAATCATCATTATTAGATGTGTTGGCCTCAATTTTGAATCACTCTCTCAAAAGAGTGATATTTTATAAAGCTTGTATTAACTATAGTTCTTGACAAAAGGGAACATAAAAATACCCTTTTTTCTTTTTTACTGTAATGTCAGGTTTGTGTTTTGGTGTATTATTTTCTCTAGAGCACATCTTTCTTCATCTACATAGGTTTCCTGTTCTCAGTTTTCCTCTGCTTCATTCTCTTCTTCCTTCTTTTATTTTTCTCCTCCTTCTGAGCCCAGAATAGAATAGAATAACCGTTTTTAGGGTAATGGCATTGTATAGTGTTCAGGATTAAAGGTGACATTGAGTGAAACAATTTTCCATCTCTCCACTACTGCTCCAACAATTCCCTACCACCTCAGTCAGAGATTTGCCAATATTCTTGAAGAGGTGACAGGAAAATCTAGAAGAAAATTATATTGAGGGAAAATAAAATATGAGAGGCTTTTCTACAAATGACCTGAGAAGATGGGGGCACCATCTTCTCAGGTCATTTGTATTGTTCTTCATTTAGTAATAACAGGAGCTGGTGTTCGAGATTCTTTCAATGTGCTAGGTACTGTTCTCATCCTCTTACATTAATTATTATTTTTTTATGAACCCCATAAGGTAGGTGTTATCACTATCCCCAGTTTATAGAGGCACACAGACCCTGAGCATCTTGCCTGAGATGGCATAGTCATGTAGCACCATTTGTTCACAGCCAGACTCTTGCAATTTCTACCCTCTATTGCAGGAGAGGGGAAACTTTTTTCTGTCAAGGGCCATTGGGATATTTATAACATCATTCGAAGGCTATACAAAATTATCAGCTTAAAAATTAGCCTGCTATACTGGTATTTGGTCAAACATTAAATTAACTCACCCCTAATGCCTTGGCAGGGCCAGGCCAAATGATTTCACGGCCCTTATATGGCCCACGGGCCGGACATTCCCCACCCCTGCTACATCTCCACTATTTTGTACTTTACATGGTTAATGCATAAAGTCACTTTTTAATTTAACCCTAGGATATGTATATATCAAGTTTCAAATGTGCTTGGACAGTGCTTTGGTGTATAGCAGTCCTCAGTTTGCTTGGTTCTTGTGTGCAGAGATTTCAGTTACCATGATTTAGCTACATAACACCAGTCTCCCAACAAAGAAGTTTGAATTTTAGTGGTATCCTATCTAATAAAGAGGAAATATGCTAATTGACCCTCACACCATCACAAAGATGGTGGCACCCACAGCCAATAAGGAGGGAATATGCTAATTGACTGCCCTTCCTTCAAAGATGGCGGTGCCCACAGCCACAAGATGGCCGGCAGGAGAGGGCAGTTGTGAGCGATCAGGCCAGCAGGAGAGGGCAGTTAGGGGCAACCAGGCCTGCAGGGGAGGGAAGTTGGGGGGGGACCAGGCCTGCAGGGGAGGGCAGTTGGGGGAGACCGGGCCATCAGGGGAAGCCAGTTGGGGGCAATCCGGCTGGCAGAGGAGGGCAGTTGGGGGCAATCAAGCTGTCAGGGGAGCAGTTAGGTGTCAATCAGGCTGGCAGGGGAGTGGTTAGGGGGTGATCAGGCTGGCAGGCAGAAGCAGTTAGGGGCAATCAGGCAGACAGGCAGGTGAGCGGTTGGGAGCCAGCAGTCCTGGATTGTTAGAGGGATGTCTGACTGCCAGTTTAGGCCTAACTGACAACCGGACATCCCCCGAGGGGTCCCAGATTGGAGAGGGTGCAGACTGGGCTGAGGGACACCCCCCCCCAGGTGTACAAATTTCATGCACCGGGCCTCTAGTGTTAACTTTAATTGCATAAAGTGCAAACTTCACTGCTAGGTCCTCAGTCCAAAAAGTATTATGTAAATATCAAATGTGGGTTGTGACCAATCATGTCATAAGTTTCTAAGTGTGTTGGTGATTGGCTGTGGCACATTCAGTTCAGATAATAAAGTGCACAGTTCTGTTGACTCCTTGTTCCCCAGTGATAGACCTCATGACATTTTACAAACATAGATCATGGAAAGAGGGAATTACTAGGAAATAAATGAACAATGATGATACTGAAGGGGAAATTTGAAATAGCTGATCAGGAGATATTGACAATGTTCTGCATTTGCCATTTAAAAGACTCTAAATATACAGCTAGAGAGGTTTACTGAAGGCAAACTTATGGACATGTATAGAATGTCCCAGGACAGGTTAGGGGTGAGGCTGGGATGCCAGACAGATGGGGTAGCAGCAGAGGGCAGGCCAACCACAGCTGAATTGGGCCATACTAGTTGATAGGTGGGCCACAGAGTGGGAGTCTGCTTTGAATCCAGGACCCCTGGCCTTGGGAGATTGGGCTATTGCCACTGCCATAGTCCACAAAGTCCCAGTAGTTGGGGCAATGGTACACTAAGACAGCCCAAGGCAAGAAGACCTGAGTCATATTTTCAGGAACCGGGGACAAATCTACAAAAAATGCCTTAGTTTCTATTCCAGAGCCCAGGGTTGCTCCCAAGACTTTGCATATTTCCTGATTCAATACTAAGGTTCTTGTGCATATGCCTCCCTGAGTGGGGCAAGTTACCTGCTGTTAGAATACAGCCCATGGATATACCCAGAGTGGGACTGCTGGATTAAATGGTAGTCGTATTTTTAATTTTTTGTGGGACTCCATACTGTTTTTCATAGTGGCTATACCAATTTGCAATACCTCAGACAGTGCACAAGAGTTCTCTTTTCTTTACATCTTGGCCAACATTTATCCTTTGTCTTTTTGGTAGTGGGCATTCTAACAGGTGTGAGGTAATATCGCATTGTGGTTTTGATTTGCATTTTCCTGATGATTGATGATGTTGAGCATCTTTTTATGTTCCTGTTGGCCATTTGGATGCTTTTTTTGGAAAATTCTATTTGGCTTCTTGGCCCATTTTTTAATTGGATTGTTTGGTATTTTGTTATTGACTTGTGTGAGATTTTTATATATTTTGGATATTAACTCCTTATCCATATATGGTTTACAAACCATATTCTCCTATTCTATCAGTTGCTTTTTAATTTTGTTGTTTATTTTTGCTGTGCAGGAACTCTTTAGTTTAATGTAATCCCACTTGTTGTTTTTTTGCTTTTGTTACTTATGTTTTTGGTGACATATTCAAGAAATCATTGCCAAGACCAATGTCAATGAGCTTTTTTCCTATGTTTTCTTCTAGGAGTTTTATGGTATCTTATGTTTAAATCTTTAATCTACTTTGAGTTAATTTTTG